TCATAGACGAAGACACTGAGGTTCAGAGACAAGTCACTTATATTATACAAGCAACTCAGGAGGCTGAGGACAGAGCTGGAACTGGAGTCTGCCTCCCAATTCATAGTTTCTCTACAACATCAAAAAAATTTTTTATCTCAGATGATGTATTAGTAAGGTAAAACCAGAATAATTTGATATTATAATTCATATTATGTTGGTACTATCTTGACATCTAGAAAATGGAGAAACATAATCCCAGAACCCGAAGTCTTTTACTTCTATATAAAACACAACATCATTTTGGGTGAGGCAGAATTTATTATGAGGATGTAGATCTTACTTAAGGAAAAAGTAGGCTAGAAAGAAGATTTTCAGATAAAGTTACTCCCATGTTATAAGGCTGGATTTCTGCTTCTTTTTCCCAGCACCAGCTTTCAGTTTAGTTGTTTGTTCGTAACATATTATAACCTCTCTCCTATCATAAACTGGCACAAGACTTTCTTAAATTGATTCACAAGGAGAAATTATCAGGTTAAATCAGGAAAGAGGTAAAAGCCATGACGCTGGACCAGGGTTGGAGGATAGGGTTGGGAGGGAGAAGAGAAGACAGAGGGAACAAAAGCTGTAGGTCAACCCAAGGCCTGCTCTGGGGAAGACAGCAGCTGAGAAGGAAACATGACAATGCCATGGGTTTGTCAACAAAGGGGGAACTGTCTGAAATTAGGAGACAGGGAGTGTCTGGAGAAGTTTGGACAGTATCCAGTAGGTACTGGGTGAAGCCATTGTTCAATGGCTGAATGAAGAGCTCCACCTGAGTGTGTCTGAATGTCTCACGAGGATTCCAGGCAAGACAAGGATCAGGCATAGTTCCAGGGCAACAGGTTGTGGGACAGGTTGTGAGCAAAATAAGCTATCTTGTTTGGGTTCTGTCCTAACTCATTAACGCCCCTCTTTCCTTCCTCCTCAGCCAGCAGAGCCCACCCACATGTGCCATCTGACACCACCTTCTCTCACTGACCTTCCTGCAGCTCCCCCCCCACACACACCACAGACCTCCACCCAGGCCAGTCTTCAAAGACAATGACCTGAATACAGAATTTAGGCCATCTCCTCTACTCTCTATCCTATCAACTCGCACGTTTCCACGAAAATTTATCTCATCTAATACCTGCCAGGAAAGTAACTTGATTACTGATGACCTCATGTAAGTCATTTATATGGTAAAGAAGGTACTTGTTGATCTCAAAGGCCATGGGCATTAATGAGAGAATTTTACCAAAGACATTTTGACCATTTTTCATGGGGTATCTCAAATTATACAAAGACAACTGCTATTACTATTAATATATTTATATTAAGTAGATGCTAGAGGCAAGATCGAATTTTATTATCAAAGTGACACAGGATTGTGAAGTCACAACCATTGTGTTGTACCCTCAACATGTTAATGAAAAGCTTAAGTTTGAGGAACTATCTACAAGAGTAGTCTGGTTGGTAAATAGCTGAATTTGAGAGGATACGGCAAAATAGCAGAGGCATTGTTCCAAAAATCGGTGAGTCTGACTGATGCACTTTAGTGAATTGAGAAATGGAGACAGACATGCTCCATTTCTTTTGCTCATTTGTTTCGTTGAAAATGTTCCCTGTCGTGCGTGTAGCCCGTTTGATAAGTACTAAGTCAGTAAAAGTTTCTCCTTGAATTCGTACAAAGATCTGGAAAACTGAGGACTAAGAGCAGATCTCACTGGTCAAAATAGACTAAGAAACATTTTTTTATGTCTGAACTTAACACAATGAGCAAGGTCTGAGAAAAGTCCCCGTCAGGATTGGGTCTGCTGACCATCCTTCTCTCTCTCAGGTGTCTCTGTTGGATGAAGTGAATCGGGGGGATCTCATAGTGTTCTCTTAAGTGTCTTAGCAAATTGTAATGAACTTCCATGGCATTCTCAGGAAACCATTCACCTCCTCACTGTGCATTGCCGCTTACCGTAGCCGCATCTATAAAAGCGCTCCGCGTCAGGGTAGAGAAAGTGCAGGTCTTTTCCTGCCTTTGTCATGAATGACCTGGCAAAATAGTTTGAAACTGGTGCAGAAGGGGGACCTTACCTGATACAGTGTTTACTTTTGAACTTTATGTTCCACAATTTTGTAGTTATAGTGATCAAATTTCCATTTTTAATTAAAAAAAGGAATTTTGCAACCCATGAGGTAGCCACCATCAGTTTCTAGAGAGTAGGGAGGACAACACGCAAAAAGAAGTACAGAAGTAGGAATATCACAAATTCTTTTTCAAGATGGAATTGATGGTGACAAGATGACTATGAAAGCATTAAGGCACTTTTAAAGCCGGGTCTTAATTCTGAGACACACAAATGTTAAATATAGAATGTCCAGTCAATCAACAAGCCTTATTCTCTATTATTTAATGGCAAACAATTGGGAAAGTGCTCAAATTAACAGAGTATACAAAACAAGAGATTAATAAATTTTGTCTAGCCATTTTAACAAAAGGGCCTCCATAAACTTCTTGACTCAGAAATGGGTAAGACTTAATAAAATTAGCTTGGTTATAATCTATCATTTAGCTTAAAGACAATTGTCTTTTAGAAAAACGCATCATTTACATGGTCGGTGAATTAAAGAATAAACAAATAAAGTGTACAGACCTAAACAGAATCTGAAAGCTTTTCTTTCAATAAATTGAAATGAATGATCACAATAATGAACCACAGCAGAGGATGTGGTGGGTTTGAGGCTGAATTCTCACAGCTATAACTTGTATCGCTGAAATTGATACACTATTCAGAAACAAATTTTCCACATCCTCAAATTTGCTCACTTGTAGCTTGTATTAATTGAAAATTCATTCCCCAATTAGCATACTGTTGAAGGTGTTTTAAAAATGTCTTGTTTATAACAGTTGTTGGCTCCACTGGAGTTCAAAATGATGCCAACCGAATGTCATTTCAAATAAAAACCTTTCTTTCTTTTGGCAGCAGAAAAGAGCAGAGTCACACAGTAGCTCTTGATTTATGACCTGTGCTTTCTTATTCTCAGACTCCCAACGATGTGTGCTGTTCCCTTTAAGGGACTGGGTTGAAAGCATTTAACAAGAAAATAATCCCACCTCCAAATCTGCTTTTTAATTTGAAATTATGTGGGCTGTTGATCATAATTGGTCAACAGGATCATAATTGGTCCCTGTCTCCTGCCTCGAATGATCAGGTGAGAGAATGGAGACTGAGAATTCTTGAGCCGCGTCTTCTGTTTGTGAAGTGTCTTTCAACGACACATCGGACCGGAACTTATAATGAATGATATATGCTGTGCATGAAATTTGTGAAAATATTTTACGTTTATCATTCCAGTAAGCATTTTTTCAGCCATGGGTCACATCCTGAAATTATACAATTGTCTCCCCAAAACACAGTTTTAGTACTGACAAGGGAGAGGATGTAACTACTCTAAGCAGATCTGAAGGGTGGGTGGATGAAGCGGCTGGCGATGGGTGGATGGACGTAGAGAATCTCATATATGCCTTACAGGATTTTTTGGTGGTTAAGCAGAGTAAGCAGAGTCCATCTTCACAGTGTCCACCAGACAAAGTGTTTATTGTAAAGTAGGCCCCATCCCTGGAGAAGAAGAAAAATGATTCCTTTGGACCAGAGGGAAATTAACTCTTTCCGCCCTGTTGCATCATGGAAGGCGCTGGATAAGTATTTAGTGATTAATTTCCCTGCTTGGTTTCAAGGGGAGTCTCAATGTCAGGAATAGAATTTATTCCTACTGCATTTTCTACACAGCAGAGTGGCAGGATCCCCTCGTCTCAAGTCTCCCCCCTTCCCCCGTCTAGCATAGGTAGACTATGTGGAAAACATATTCTAATAATTGCTAAACCATTAAAATTGGGCTGCAGCAATTTCTTTTTTTGCATGGAAGTAACTCAAGACCATTTAGCATTGCATTTTTAAAATTTACTTGCAGACTTGAGCTGGGAAATCCATTGGCCTATACCACAGATGCTAAAAGTCACAAAAACTGTATGTTCTGCCTTGATCTTTTAAAGACTGAATTCGGAAGGAGAAAAGTGGTTTTGCCTAGGGGTGGCTGTGAAAGCATCAGGAATCCACTGAAAAGCTGGAGAGAAGGGTCCAATTGTAGTATGCTCCCTTTAAGAAGGAAACAAGATTAGCAACCTTGGCAAATTTGTGGCTTCTATTCAGCGGAAAGAGAAGAGTGAACAGTATCAAAAAAAAAAAAAAAAAGATGGATGTTTTGAGACAAAGGCAGAAGCAATTTTATACCTTATTGAAAGCTTACCTGGGAATGATTTTAACTCCTCTGGGGTTAAGAAAGATTTTTTTTTTCTCGCAAGACTAAAGGTGGAGCTAGGATAAAAGAGTTGAATTTGAAATAGTGTCCCTGTCAGTTCTGTGCTGTCCGGGGAAGTACATGAGGAAGAAAAATCTCCGTGGAAGAGAGAGAAAGGCTGGAGGTGAGGGACTACCTATTATAGAAACCAGAATGTAAGGTATGTTTTCACATGAAGGTAGAAATTCTTAATTGCCTTCTTCTTCTAAAGAAAATCATCTGACTTAAACAGAAAGCTTCTAAGACTGCTAGACAAATATCTGAGTTATATTTTGACTTTTTATAACATAGATTATTTTGTTTTCTAAATGTCTTCATGCCAGAAGAGTCTATAAAAATAAGAGAAAATTTTTTTATCTCAGGTCAGAAAAGGTTATGAAACTTCATCTGGGATAATCATAGTGTTGACTCAAGCCTTATGCATATATGAAAATGGTATTTTCTCTAATTGCATATTTTCTTCCTGTAATGACTGAGTTAAATTCTAAACTGAAATGAGTAATCAATACTGAATGTCTATCATTCAAGTGAAGTCTTAGCTATTTCAGATGGCTTAAAATTGCTTCAAGTTTGGCAAATTGCTGTCAAGATGGAAATTAATAGCCAAAGCTAAACTGTGTTTAATTTTCTTTTTTTTTTCCCCAGGTCTTAACTGAAAACCCAAATTGACAAATAGCAACACACCTAGAACTATTACAACTGCAAAACTCAGCTGGATGCCTGAAGGGTACAGGAAAACATGAGCTACTGCGGCAGCAGCTATCGGATTGTAAACGTGGACCCCAAATACCCAGGCTACCCCGCAGAGCACATTATAGCCGAGAAGAGAAGAGCAAGAAGACGTCTGCTCCACAAAGATGGCAGCTGTAATGTGTACTTCAAGCACATTTTTGGAGAATGGGGGAGCTATGTGGTGGACATTTTCACCACTCTTGTAGACACTAAGTGGCGCCATATGTTTGTGATATTTTCTTTATCATATATCCTCTCCTGGTTGATATTTGGCTCTATCTTTTGGTTCATAGCCTTCCATCATGGAGATCTGCTAAATGATCCCGATATCACACCTTGTGTTGACAACGTCCATTCTTTTACAGGGGCGTTCTTATTCTCCCTTGAGACTCAAACCACCATAGGTTATGGTTACCGCTGTGTCACTGAAGAATGCTCCATGGCAGTGCTCATGGTGATACTTCAGTCCATTTTAAGCAGCATCATAAATACCTTCATCATTGGAGCCGCCTTGGCCAAAATGGCAACTGCTCGAAAGAGAGCCCAAACCATTCGGTTCAGCTATTTTGCGCTCATAGGCATGAGAGATGGGAAGCTTTGCCTCATGTGGCGCATTGGTGATTTCCGACCAAACCATGTGGTAGAAGGCACAGTTAGAGCCCAGCTTCTCCGCTACACAGAAGACAGTGAAGGGCGGATGACAATGGCATTTAAAGACCTCAAGTTAGTCAATGACCAGATCATCCTCGTCACGCCAGTAACTATCGTTCATGAAATTGACCACGAGAGCCCTCTGTATGCCCTTGACCGAAAAGCAGTGGCCAAAGATAACTTTGAGATTTTGGTGACGTTTATCTACACTGGTGATTCCACTGGGACATCGCATCAATCCAGAAGTTCCTATGTTCCCCGAGAAATTCTCTGGGGCCATAGGTTTAATGATGTCTTGGAAGTTAAGAGAAAGTATTACAGAGTGAACTGTTTGCAATTTGAGGGAAGTGTTGAAGTCTATGCTCCCTTTTGCAGTGCCAAACAATTGGACTGGAAAGACCAGCAGCTCCACAACACGGAGAAAGCCCCACCAGTCCGAGGATCCGGCTCATCAGACATCAAGGTCAGAAGAAGGTCATTTAGTACAGCTGCCATTATCAGCAGCTGTGAAAACCCGGAGGAGACCACCACCTCTGCCACGGATGAGTGTAAGGAAGCACCTTATCAGAAAGCTCTCCTGACTTTAAATAGAATCTCTGTAGAATCCCAAATGTAGTCCTAAATTATGTTTACCAGGGCTACCACTCAATCATTTTACTCTTAGCCCATCACCTTAAGGCAAGTAGTTATAATCAAGGTTTTTAAAGAACGGTTATAGTACGTTTGATAGTGATGGGGGATAAGAGCAGGTTAAACTTGATAAAAGTTTAAAATTACACAGTATCCAGTCATTTAAGCTTTTTTTTTTTTTTGGCTAGCAAATTTTGTACTAGGGAAGCTATTAAGAACCTAATTGATTAACTTAAATTTCATCTCCTTTTATTATCCCATATACTTGTATCTTGAATTGGAGGTGTAATATTCAGTAATGGGGATCAAAGGTAGGGTATTGGAATAAATAAAAATAGGAAGACAGGCAGCCAGCATGAATAACAAATTTTTAAATGTATCAAAATCGATAGCATAATGAGTAGTTTCCTATAAAAGCGTCATGTCGTCTAACCAAGATATGCAAGATATGCATTCAGTAGATGGTAATGTGGAGATATTTAACTGTGAAATTAACTGGTGGGTACCATGTTTGCCCCTCATAGTGTCTTGATATCAGCAGGCAGAGGTAGTGGCTGTAAGAAATAGGCAATGCCACCAATTCAGACAGTTCTACTGCCACTTGCCCAGGTAATGATCAATGAGTGCTAGAAGCTATTTTTTCTCTAACCCATTAGGCAGAAGAAAAGTTGACATTATTATTTAGAGCAGTATTTCTCTCTTAAATGCCCTGGTTGACTCCAACAAATGGCTTTATATGGAAAAGCAGAAATAAGGCAACTATGACCTTTCTAGGTGTTCTGACAATGGGCTTCCTGTGCCCACCTTCCACCTTCCCCAAGGACAGCGTGCAGGAACAGGATCGTAGAGATGGGCTGAGGGAATAGATAGAAGGGAGAAACAGTCTCAGACTATTTAGGAAAAAACCTTTGCATGTGTCCTGAATGAACTGCAGCTTTGCCTGGAACACTTTTTGTGGAAGGGGGTAAAGGGGGAGGGCGAGGGGAAAGGTATTTATTTGTGCCCAGAAGCAGTTATATATGCTTCCTGTCTTGGGCACTTTATAAGACATAAATGACTTGAATTGTGGATTTTAAGAAACTCATCCATTGAACTTGGAACAATCATTTAAATTGAAGATTTTGTGAAATGTAATTAAGGTGATTTAAATGCACATTATTAAGTGGATAAGCTGAATGCTATAGAATTGCTTAAATTTTAGGACATGAGATAAATTTGTATACTCTATTTCCATGTTAAAAAATGTTAACATGATTATTTTAAGTACAAATCCAATCAACTTTGAGTGAAGAGTCAGTTTAAGCTTTATAAATTGAGTTATTAGCTACATTCAGAATTATCTGTTTTTTTTTTTCACATTGTTGCTGAACTGACAATAAATATATGCCACGGTTTTTTATTTGTTTATTTTATTTAAATGTATACACACACATAGTTCTGGCTTTTTCTGAGAAATCTCTCTCTCTCTTTTCACCTAAATTAAAGCACACAAGTCAACTGAATCACATAGTCCAAAATTAGCAATAAAAGTAAAAGATACAGGTATGTAAAGTTTTTCTTTTGTTTTTCTTCTTTTTCCTTCCTCTTTCCCTTCTCCTTTCCCAGTTGCCTCCTTTCCTCTCACTCTCCCTTCCTCGTTTCCTTCTTTCCTCCTTTCCTTCCTTCCTTTCTTTCTTTTGTCTATGAGCAATAAAGTTACTTTTTAAATGCACATGTGCAAATATTTTATTCTTGGTATTTTGTGGATGAAAGAGTTGTTCAGTCACAAGTTGTAGAACTGTCCTAAAGCTTAATACCAGAGATCTACATAACACATTTTTTTTCTGTGTTGCTTCAAGAAAGCAAAACCCAATTTTTTAAATTGGGCCTGCACTGTAGATTCAGATTTTGTAGCAACAATTACTCAGCTAAATAAGAGTACAACAATCTACTTAGTAGAAAACAACTACCACCACAACAAACAAAAATGCCTTTGTTTTTTTCCATTGTTAGCTGGCTTGTTTCACACACATCTAGTTTCATTTTACTTTGCCTTGCTTCCTGAACTCTGCCTATCCATGATCTTGCTTTGTCAGTAGCAGAATAGAGGCAGCAATGCCCAGTAAATACATCCTGTTGTACCATGCCACCCCACCGTTAAATCCTCTTACCCAGAATAGAATGTAAAATTGGCATTCCCATGTAATATTTACCTCTAATTTTCTGTTTAGATTTCTAACATACTTTGACAGCCCAATGAGTTACTTAATAATAAAGATCTTAAAATAATGCAAAAAGTGTGTGCATATGCCTATATTTCGCATAGTGTAAACTCTATTTGCAGACATGGTCAGCGTCGGGTACGGTGAACCAAAAATGAGATTGCTGCCTCATAGAATTAGAACATAGGCAGAATTATAAACCATTTTTATGGGTTTTTAACAGCTTGTAGAACAGCTATATCCGAGTTAACAATTAAGTGCTTCTGTAAGCATCGCAAGAGGGCTCTATGCAAAACGGCATTTCTAGTCTTAAATGCTCTGTCGATGATGATAAGTAGCTTGAATGTTTTTTCTTATGGCATCTATTTTCTCCCTAAAGAAGAAATTATTCAATGGACTTAATTAGATGGAAAACAAATTGAAGCATCACAGCATTGCTCCACAGCGTGATAAAGCCTGTGAACCGGGCCCTTGAGGAGGGAAGGAGAGAGGAGGAAATGCTATTTTCTTTTCTTTTTTTTTTTATGAGGAAGATCAGCCCTGAGCTAACATCCATGCCAATCCTCCTCTTTTTGCTGAGGAAGACCGGCTCTGAGCTAACATCTATTGCCAATCCTCCTCCTTTTTTTCCCCAAAGCCCCAGTAGATAGTTGTATGTCATAGTTGCACATCCTTCTAGTTGCTGTATGTGGGACGCGGCCTCAGCACGGCCGAGAAGCGGTGTGTTGGTGCGCACCCGGGATCCGAACCCGGGCCGCCAGAAGTGGAGTGCGAGCACTTAACCACTAAGCCACGGGCCGCCCAGGAAATGCTATTTTCATGTACCACCAGTTCATCAGGCACTGATGGATGTGTTGCACAGATACACTTAATCCCCACAACAAAACAGCAAGGTGGATATTTTTAATTGCCATGTCATCAAATACCTCACTCTTTGCTGCTTCTAACAAATTCCCAATTAGGACAACAATGTGCCCAGGTTAAAAAAAAAATTACAACTATTCTTCCCATTCTCCCTTGCAGCTGGGGGGAGGAAGGTCTCTTAAGTGGCATGGTTCTGGCCCATGAGATGGCAGCAGAACTCTCCGGATGTGACCTTTAAGAAAGCTCTTCTACTGGGGTTGCCTTAGCTGGCATATGCCCTTTTACTCCCTGCATTCATTCTTCTCCTCATCTAGACCTCAAACTTGGTAGTTGAACTTCTTACAGCCATCTTGTGAGAATCAGAATCAAGGACACCCCTTCCAAGAAAAATTGGAAAAGTAGGAAAGAGTGCAACTCTTGATTGCATATCTCCAGACTTCTTCTGCATGAGTGGAAATAAATATGATTTCTAACTGACACAGTGAGCAATCTGTCTAAAGGGATTTATCCAGGAAACAAAGGCTGGTCAGGAAAAAATGATGGAAAAGGTAGGTCCAACTTGTACTTGCACATGACATTTGATGGAGTTGGTCTCTGTGGAAACCATGTATTTCTGGGGAGTTGAGAAAATGCCACTATTATTGTAAAACAAACACAAAAGAATTACTTTTGGCCTGGAAATCTCTCTGAGACACTGATGGCTGAGTGACCTTGATAACGGGATTGACTAGGACTGTTGTTGGGCTGCCCTTTATCTTCTTCCTTCCCTCACATAGAATTACATTCTGTGTCTTAATGGGGCTTTGATCAAGGCTAGTGACTCGAAATCCATGGAGACTCAGGCAAGCCAGCACTGTACAGCTTGGGCGAAAACACAAAACTCTGCTAATACAGATGGTCCCTGACTTAGGGTGGTTCAATTTTATGGTGCAAAAGAGATACGCATTCATCAGAAATCAAACTTCAAATTTTGAATTTTGATCTTTCCCCGCCCTATTGATATGCAGTACAATCCTCTCTCGTGATGCTGGGCAGTGGCAGCCACGTGCTCACAAGGGTAAACAACCGATATCCTTACAACCATTCTGTACCCACACAACCATCCTGTTTTTCACTTTTAGTACAGTGTTCAGTAAATTACATAAGATATTCAACACCTTATTATAAAATAGGCTTTGTGTTAGATGATTTTGCCCAACTGTAGGCTAATGTACACGTTCTGAGCATGTTTAAGATCAAATAGGCTAAGCTATGATGTTCGGTTGGTTAGGTATATTAAATGCATATTTGACTTAGGATATTTTCAACTGATGATCAGTTTATTAGGGTGTAACCCCATTGTAAGTCAACTAAGATTTGTACTATACTGTGTTTCGGACCCCCAGAGAGACCAAACTCCATCAATTTATTCAAGTGGACTCTAATTATGTACCAAGGAACCTAGAACCTTACTTTAAATATTTGTATTTTATTACTTTTGCATTGGCCAGGATATGTGCAAAGTGGATTCTCTGGGCCACTCCTATTTAAATGACTGGGCACCAAATTCTACTCAGTTCAAAATATTCTATTAGTTCCACTCATTACAAGCATTGATTCTTCTGTTCTGAATATTCTACAAGGCGTGTGTATAAACCCCCGTGTTTTTTTAAGGTAAGCTTCTCCTGTGGACTTCTAGAAACCACCCCTGCACACCCTTGGTGCTCTATAAATCACAGAGCCTCAATTCTAAATTTGGTGTGGCCTGTTTCTCTCACTTTCATTTTTAAAGGAGCAGTATGACCCACACTCTGGAGAAAATGACTTTGGACACCAGCATGCAAGTGGGGATAACACAGACAGACCAATTTAGCAGCAAGGAGGCGCTTGACAAATTCTCTGCAAAGATTCTCCTAGATATGAGATCTCTGAAAATGAGAGCTAGTTACTGAGACTCAGTTCAGATAAATCCGTGGGCAGAGAGCAAGCAAGGCCTCCTTGCAGGAGCATTCTCCTGAAGAGGCAAAATCAGAGTTGCTGGGAAACCATCGCTGGTCTGCATTGCCTTTG